GGAATAAAAGGAGAAATGGCTCAAGTCTTGCACTGGCTTCTTCTGTTCAGTTGTCAGCCCTCACAGACCTTGCAGCATGGGCTTAAACATGCCCCCCTGTGCTTTTCTAATTGTCCCCAAAACAACATGCTGCCTGTGTCTCCCCTCACCTGGGTGGCAGGCTGGCACCTGGCAGCTCCCTGCCTGATCTGCCAGAAGTGCCCTGCTGCCCCAAGGCTCTGGTTGGGCTCCCTGTCTCTCCTCATTCCCGTATCGTGAACGCAGCAGCTTGTCTGGCTCTAACCACTGTCTGCAGGCTAATGACAGATCTGCTCCCCACACCCAAGCCACATCCCTGAAACCTCCCCTCCTTCCCATGTGCCCTCCTGGTAGAGGAATGCTTTTCAAAACCAGCACAGAACCAAATTTCTTCTTCCCATGTTCTGCCAAGCTTCTTTGCCCTTATCAAGCCCACAACCTTCAATCCTTCCCACCACGACCTCGCAATCACCCCCCTCCACTTGTGATTCTCTGGGCTCTCCTTCACAGCTTCCCATGCTCCAGCACCCACACCGTGTGCGATTCCCTGCAGCTCCACAAACTGTAGCAAACACAGTGCCACAGCCAAGATGTTTTTCATGACACATACCCATTTATTAAGAATGGAAACAGCCTACTTTCTGACACGTGGCCTGCCAGACCCTGCTGGCTGAGCACACACTAATCCCTTGTCATCCCTTCTGACTATTTTGCTACTTCCCGCCTAGCAAGTTGTTAACTCCTCAGGGCAGCATTCACACCCAGCCCCCAGCCCTCACAGGACTCAGTAAGTATTCCTGAATATCATCAGCGATACGAGACCGATTGTACTGGTGTCTGTTTTAAGCGTGAGCCCTGGCAAGTGCAGGGTTGCAGTGCAGAGGCTAGGAGAACAAGGCAGAGCTTTTCAGAGCGCACACAGGAGCACCGGCTCCAGGCAGCACAGCACAGAGAGAACAGGAGCCAACTCTGAGTAGCCCTGTCAGGCTGAATCCTCACCTTCAGCAGCCACAGAAACGCCGTCTCTGGGAATGACAGGCAGCGCAGGGGAGCTCCCCCAGGCCTGTGTATTGCCTGTCAAATACAGAAGTTTCCATACAGAAGCAATGCTTCCCTTCACCCTGATGTTTTGTTAAGATTTTAGTGAAAACTTTAACAGTCACAGCAAGTAATTTCAAATTTACCCAGCCAGAAGGCTTCGAATCAGACAGGAAGAGCTGCTGGAATCTGTCACACAGCAGTTATTTTGAAATAAGGTTGATGAAAAGAAAACGGGGGGGGATGAAGGAAAACTTACTTTTCTTCACAGTTTGCATATTCCAAAGAAAAATAAGCTGAAAGCCTGCAAAGACCTAAGAGCAGGGAGGAGAAAGGCAGAGCCAGCTCGAGAGTCCAAAGTTCCAAAGCCCAAGCTGCCTCCCTCACACTTCCCTGCAGCCACATCAGGAGCACAGCTCCCCACTGGCTTCTCCTACATCAGCATTTTACTGACAATCCCTCCTCAGTACAGCTCCAGCAATGTCAGCACACACTAACCTAGACAGAACACTTGTTTAAAAAGTAGGAATAATAATCAGGGCATTATCTAACGCTGCCGAGCTCGCATCTGCCCAGAACAGTGTGTAAAAGATCGACTGCCAGCAGGGCAACGCCTCCCTCGCTGCCAGCATGGCACCGCAGGCAGCTGCAGGAGTGTGTCTGACGAAGGCTTGGTTTGGTGGCATTTTCCTGGGGTTGCAGGGGTGAAGGGGAAGAATTGCTGGTTCAGGAAAGCACCCAAGACTACAGTACCTACAAGGTCACGCGCCCCAACACCAGATTACTCTCAGTCATTGTAGCCTACAGCAGTAAATTTAAAGAACTGCAGATTCCCAACAGCAATAAGGGAACTGTGGTCCTATATATCCTGTACATTCCTCTCACATTATCAGAAAGGTGTCTATACATATGAATCGCTGGACAGCCGTACCTGACTTTAAGAGTGCTCCTTGTACAAAGAAAAAGATAAATCATTCATACAAGAACTATTAGCCTACTAGCTGCATCTGACTACTTCTTTTGCTGTTAAAGCCATCCGAAGAATTAAACCCTTTCCTCTTCCTGCCAGAACCTGCACTGAAGGCTACAACTGCTGCTGCCACGGCAAGAAAGAGGCAGTAAAAAATCCCGCAGGATTAATCCTGGCAAGGACGGTCAGATGGCAGAGGCTGGAGAAACTCCTCAAACGCGGTTCCTAGACGAGAACGGCGACGTGCCACACAAAGCCAAGCCGTAAACGCGCCAGGCTGATTGCACCACGTTCTGTGAAGAGAACGCCTGATTTTATGCTGTAAATATACCCCTAGCAGTGAAAATTAGCAGCAAGCGACACAGCCTACAGGAGCAGCATCAACGCCCTGCTTCACATCCTCAGTCGCTGGCTGCCAGAGCGATGCCGTTGTGCACCAGGTGAAAACGAGGTTTTGTGCATTCCTCCCTAGCACCATTTCTTGGGCAGGCTTTTATGGGGAAAACACACAGCTCTGGGAAACGCCCGAGCAGACGGGACAGCGAGCAGCACTGGCTGAATAGGAAGCGCACTTCAGCACAGCCACAGTTGCCATAGTAATAAACAAGCATTTTTCTAATCCCCAAGGCTACCTAAAGCATTAGACAGCACTAAGGCTGCTAATGGGAATGCAATTAGGCTGACATGGATATTCCTGAATTGAAGCTGACTGAAGCCTTCTATTCATTAAGGAAAGTGGTAAAGGAAGTTACAAGTTCAGCTTTTTGACTGCAAAATAATGAAGATTTAATTAAAGAGAGGCAATCGGGAGCTATGAGGACTACCATCGAGGCAGATAACAGCACTGGGAAGTCCCAGGAAAGCAGGAGCTTTCATTGCCTGTCAGCAACACCTGCCACTAATGGATGAATCTTTTCGAAGGATCAGAAAATAAACCAATTACCTAGAATACCAACCCTAAAGTCATCCTCTGGCACAAATCCACCTGCAAGGAAAACACCTTTTCCTCAGGGCACGCGCCACAGATGCCTGCACGGATCTGCACGTTAGGCAGGTTGGAGGCCTGATCTGCAGAGGCAGGGCTCTGGAAGCAGGCTTTCCTAACACTGAACCATTACGCAGGCACAAAGAAAACACATTTGCTCAAAAACACATGCCCAGAAGCTTAAAACACTCCCTTTGGTTGTGGATAAAAGTCACGCTGACTTCTTAAAGAGAAATCTGGAGTCAAACTGGTGCATTCTCAACAGAAAAATGACAAAGCATGCGAAGAGCTTAAACCCATCTAGCAGGCTGCACTGACAGGGAGATCTGACGGGGGGGGGGAAGGTTAATTTCCCAGAACACAAGGAGGAAACAGATGACAGGAACATGACAGAGGAGAAAGGCAGCACACCTAAAAAGGACCGAGCTGCCTATTCTTAGCCCTTGGTTCAGCGACACATGGCTAGCGGTATTATCTCAGCACAGAAGAATCCCTAGTGGGCTCAGCGTTGGGCCACAGGGACGCTGCTCAATTGAACAGTGGCACAATGACCTCTACCTGTACCCGCAGCGGCATATAATCCTCACAGAGGTCATCCCACAGCTCCTGCAGTTCAGAAATCTCCAGGGAAAGACCCAAAGGAGCTTTGGAAAAGGATTTTCTGTCTGCGTTCAGGAAGGCAGAACCAGCACATGCTAAGCCAGCAGAAGCACTGCCATCTGCCAAGTCACGGTTGATCTTGGGAGGGGGCAAGCTGGACTTCACAGGAATAGGTAGCCTGCTGCCTCGGGGGCTCTGCAGGGGCTTGTAGTCCAAAGCCTTGATCAAACTGAGGGCCAGCTCCAGCCTGTTCCCGCTCAGCGAAGAGTTTGGGGTCATGCGGTCATCTGAGAAATCATCACATTTCCCTTTCACCCCCTTATCTGCATCTTCATCCTTCTGCTGGGGAGGGCTTGCCTCCACAGTTGTGTCCAGGGACTCAACAGATGACACAGGCGTGCCTTCCTCCATGCTCTCCCCATCCACAGGCACTCTGGCGCTGGTGGACTCCGCCACATCACACACAGAGGACTCCTCGTTGCCCATGCTGGCTGACCACCGGCTGGACAGCCCACAGGAGATGCTTCTGGCCACCTTTCGCGGCACTTTACAAATCGCTTCATAGTCGGCATCGGCCACCCGCAGCGCGGCGCAACCACGGCAGCGCCGCGGGCGGTTACTTGCTCCCTCCGAAGCATGGCAGCTGTGCAGCTCCAAGCTGTGGTCTTCTTGATCCGTCCAATATTCATACCCAGAATAAGCAAAGTCCTCCTGAAGGAGGGCAGCATACCGTACATCAGGCAGGTTAGAAAGGTCCACAGTCCCATCCCCAGCTCTGTCATCTGCGCTAGAGTCTTCGTTGTTCCTGCGGTACATGCTTGCAATGCAGAACTTGAGGCGGTCTTTCTCCAGCAGCAGTTTCTGCAGGCGCTCGATGGAGAGGGCTTCGATGCGCGCGATGACGGTGTCGAACCTGTAGATGCGGTCCAGCATGAAGGCACACTTGCTGCAAGCGAACTCGGATTTGCCATCCCGGCACAGCTCCCTGCCCAGGACGTGGGAGAGCAGCACCTGGAGGTTCAGCTTGGCCGCCGTGTGGAAGATCCATCGCCGCTGGTTGCCGCACAGCTCCCGGGCACAGATGCGGCAGGTTTCCTTCATCCTCCCTCCCAACCA